AGCCATAATCATCACAATGATGACAAATCACGGCTTGAACTATCTTGCTTTGCATGGAATGAGTCTATCTCATATATTAGTTTCACCTTTTAAGTTGCACTGACACTGTACTAATGGCACTGGGCAGGAAGGGGTTAACATCTGGGGCGACCAAAGGGTTACCTGTGTGCTGTTTCACTTTATGTGCTGTGTGTGTTTCACTGTAAGCACACTGCTTTGTATGGCTCTGCTACCCGGAACTGCAAAATCCCCCCTTATGTATTATACATGGAGATCATATCCCCCTTATGTATTATACATGGAGATCATATCCCCCCTTATGTATTATACATGGAGACCATATCCCCCCCTTATGTATTATACATGGAGATGATATCCCCCCCTTATGTATTATACATGGAGATCATATCCCCCCTTATGTATTATACATGGAGATCATATCCCCCCTTATGTATTATACATGGAGATCATATCCCCCCCTTATGTATTATACATGGAGATCATATCCCCCCTTATGTATTATACATGGAGATCATATCCCCCCATTTATGTATTATACATGGAGATCATACCCCCCCTTATGTATTATACATGGAGATCATATCCCCCCTTATGTATTATACATGGGGATCATATCCCCCCTTATGTATTATACATGGAGATCATATCCCCCCTTATGTATTATACATGGAGATCATATCCCTCCCCTTATGTATTATACATGGAGATCATATCCCCCCTTATGTATTATACATGGAGATCATATCCCCCTTATGTATTATACATGGAGATCATATCCCCCCCCTTATGTATTATACATGGAGATCATATCCCCCTTATGTATTATACATGGAGATCATATCCCCCTTATGTATTATACATGGAGATCATATCCCCCCTTATGTATTATACATGGAGATCATATCCCCCCCTTATGTATTATACATGGAGATCATATCCCCCCTTATGTATTATACATGGAGATCATATCCCCCCCTTATGTATTATACATGGTGATCACATCCCCCCTTATGTATTATACATGGAGATCACATCCCCCCTTATGTATTATACATGGAGATCACATCCCCCCTTATGTATTATACATGGAGATCATATCCCCCCTTATGTATTATACATGGAGATCATATCCCCCTTATGTTTTATACATGGAGATCATATCCCCCCTTATGTATTATACATGGAGTTCATATCCCCCCTTATGTATTATACATGGAGATCATATCCCCCTTATGTATTATACGTGGAGATCATACCCCCCCTTATGTATTATATGTGGAGATCATACCCCCCGTATGTATTATACGTGGAGATCATATCCCCCCTTATGTATTATACGTGGAGATCATATCCCCCCTTATGTATTATACATGGAGATCATATCCCCCCTTATGTATTATACGTGGAGATCATACCCCCCCGTATGTATTATACGTGGAGATCATATCCCCCCTTATGTATTATACGTGGAGATCATATCCCCCCTTATGTATTATACATGGAGATCATATCCCCCGTTATGTATTATACATGGAGGTCATATCCCCCCCCTTATGTATTATACATGGAGATCATATCCCCCTTATGTATTATACATGGAGATCATATCCCCCCTTATGTATTATACATGGTGATCATATCCCCCTTATGTATTATACATGGAGGTCATATCCCCCTTATGTATTATACATGGAGATCATATCCCCCCTTATGTATTATACATGGAGATCATATCCCCCCCTTATGTATTATACATGGAGATCATATCCCCCCTTATGTATTATACATGGAGATCATATCCCCCTTTATGTATTATACATGGAGATCATATCCCCCCTTATGTATTATACATGGAGATCATATCCCCCCTTATGTATTATACATGGAGATCATATCCCCCCTTATGTATTATACATGAAGATCATATCCCCCCTTATGTATTATACATGGAGATCATATCCCCCCCTTATGTATTATACATGGAGATCATATCCCCCCTTATGTATTATACATGTAGATCATATCCCCCCCTTATGTATTATACATGGAGATCATACCCCCCCCTTATGTATTATATATGGTGATCATATCCCCCCTTATGTATTATACATGGAGATCATATCCCCCCCTTATGTATTATACATGGAGATCATATCCCCCTTATGTATTATACATGGAGATCATATCCCCCCTTATGTATTATACATGGAGATCATATCCCCCCTTATGTATTATACATGGAGATCATATCCCCCCCCTTATGTATTATACATGGAGATCATATCCCCCCTTATGTATTATACATGGAGATCATATCCCCCCTTATGTATTATACATGGAGATCATATCCCCCCCTTATGTATTATACATGGAGATCATATCCCCCTTATGTATTATACATGGAGATCATACCCCCCCTTATGTTTTCGATGATCTGGCTCTGGCTTCAGTTTCCCTTTCATTACTGGAAAGATTACATTGTAAGCCTTTCTGTCTGTTTCTGGGACGAGTAGGACGGTAATGATGCCTTCATGCTCACATGTTCAGTATAGGTGGTCGATAGCCCAATTGCCTTGTAATGACTTGTACAAGGTCTGAAAGGTCAAAAGGTTATCTGTTTGGCCAATAATGGTTAATATATTAGCAAATATTTGGTCCATATCTAGAATCTTGTTTGCTTTTAGTGTGACATAAGTTCTAATCAATGGATTGGATAATCTCTGTACTTAAAAGGAGCACGGCCCTCCTCACGCCTTAATAGGCACAAACCTGACAGATCCTGTTAGAAAGGAAGAGGACTGCACTGTCTTGCATATAGAAAACCTAAAATAGTGTATGTGTAATCTGGCTACAAAAAACATGAAATAGCATGTCAAATATCCCACACAAATCTTTCTTTGCGTAGGTTTCCTCCAGGTCCTCCAGTTTCCTCCTACACGCCAAAGACATGCTGGGAGGTTAAATGGCTCCAGTCTAAAATTGTCCCTATTATGTGTGTGTATGAATGTGAGTTAGAGACCTTAGATGGTACGCTCCTGGAGGGTGGGGGCTGATGTGAATGCACAATATATATGTAAAGCGCTGCATAAATTGATGGCGCAATATAAGTACCTGAAATAAATAAATAAATAAACATTTCAAAAATAATTCAAAAGAAGTTATCCCTAAAAATGTCCCATAGTATATGCCTGGAGCAGTGGCGGACTGACAATTGGGGAACTTGGGCACTGCCCGAGGGCCCGGGGTCAGTAGCGGGCCCCATGAGATGTCCCTGATACCTTTCATAGGTTTTTTTTGGGTGTTGTGGTTTGAGTGTGGGCGAGGACACAGGGGCCCCATGATCCCCTATTGCCCGGGGGCCCCATGAGTTGTCTGTCCTCCCCTGGCTTGGAGGAATGAAGTTAAACATTCGCATATAGAAAGGCTTCTTTACAGTAATAGCTGCAGAACGTAGAGTAGACTTCCAAGGGAACGACAGTCCTATGGCTAAGAGTTTGTGGACACCCCACCAAATGATTGAATTACGATGTTTCCAGTGGTAGGTACTGAGAGCTACAGCACACAATACAAAGGCATTTTAAATAATTGTGCACTTCCAACCCTGACTGTACCCCTGTGCACAATGCCAGCTCCATAAAGACTTGCTTTGACCAGTTTGGTGTGAGGGAACTTGAGTGTCCTCACCTCAACCCTACTGAACACCTTTGGAAGGAGTCAGAACACCAATTGTAAGCCAGGTCTCCTCATCTAATATCTGTACCTGACCTCACAAATGGCACACATTCCAACACACATACTCTAAAATCTTGCAGAACTCCTTCCCAGAAGGGTGGGGTCTATTATAGGACAGGGCCAACTCCACATTAATTGTCATGCTTTTGTAATAGGATGTCCAACAAGCTCATATAGGTGTGATGGTCAGGTGTCAACAACATTGTGGCCATATTGTGTATTTTTGTATGGTGTTCACTTCCAACCAAGACTGTGCTTCTGTGTATAAAGGCAGCTCCGTAAAGACATGGTTTGACCAGTTTGGTGTGAAGGAACTTGAGTTTCTTGTACAGAGCCCAGACCTAAACCCTACCTCAACCCTGACCTGAACACCTTTGCGATGAATTGGGACACCATCTGTGAGCCAGGTCTTCCTATACAACTTCAGTATCTGACCTCACACATGTTCACTAGATGACCAGGGTCCTAGCCCTCTCCTGTGATTCCTGCCTCCTGGCAACAGGATGAGGGGTTCTAGCCTTCCTCTGTGATTTCAACCTCCTGGCAACGGGATGAGGGGTTCTAGCATTCCCCTGTGATTTCAACCTCTTGGCAACAGGATGACAGGGTTCTAGCCTTCCCCTGTGATTTCAACCTCCTGGCAACGGGATGAGGGGTTCTAGCCTTCCCTTGTGATTTCAACCTCCTGGCAACAGGATGATGGGGTTCTAGCCTTCCCTTGTGATTTCAACCTCCTGGCAACAGGATGAGGGGTTCTAGCCTTCCCTTGTGATTACAACCTCCTGGCAACAGGATGAGGGGTTCTAGCCTTCCCTTGTGATTACAACCTCCTGGCAACAGGATGAGGGGTTCTAGCCTTCTCCTGTGATTACAGCCTCCTGGCAACAGGATGAGGGGTTCTAGCCTTCTCCTGTGATTACAGCCTCCTGGCAACAGGATGAGGGGTTCTAGCCTTCTCCTGTGATTACAGCCTCCTGGCAACAGGATGAGGGGTTCTAGCCTTCCCCTGTGATTACAGCCTCCTGGCAACAGTCTTGGAAAGGCCCTTTTCAGTTCCAACATGATTGTGCCCAAATCCAGCTCCATAAAGACTTGGCTTGACTAGTTTGGTAAGGAAAAAGAGAGAATGGTTGGCCGCACAAACAGCAATGTGGTGGATGAAATCCTTTATTGGAAACCTATACATGCAATATGAGCTCCAAGACAGGACAGAAGAGCAGTAGATGCGTTTCACCCAAACACGTGCTTAGTAATGAGAGGGAGAGCGGATATAGTGAATGCAGGATCCGGGGAGAGCGGATATAGTGAATGCGGGGTCCGGGGAGAGCGGATATAGTGAATGCTGGGTCCGGGGAGAGCAGATATAGTGAATGCGGGGTCCGGGGAGAGCAGATATAATGAATGCGGGGTCCGGGGAGAGTGGATATAGTGAATGCCGGGTCCGGGGAGAGCAGATATAGTGAATGCGGGGTCCGGGGAGAGCAGATATAGTGAATGCGGGGTCCGGGGAGAGCAGATATAGTGAATGCGGGGTCCGGGGAGAGCAGATATAGTGAATGTGGGGTCCGGGGAGAGTTGATATAGTAAATGCAGGGTCCGGGGAGAGCAGATATAGTGAATGTGGGGTCCGGGGAGAGTTGATATAGTGAATGCGGGGTCCGGGGAGAGCAGATATAGTGAATGCAGGGTCCGGGGAGAGTGGATATAGTGAATGCGGGGTCCGGGGAGAGCGGATATAGTGAATGCGGGGTCCGGGGAGAGCAGATATAGTGAATGCGGGGTCCGGGGAGAGCAGATATAAATGAATGCAGGGTCCGGGG